TGTACAGAAGCGATAACATTTGTAAAGAAAATGTATAAAAATGTAACTACAGAGTATGGATTGCGTAGTGTGGTGCAGTGTCGGTAATTGGATGACAGATCACTATTGGAGTTAAAGAATAAAGTTGACTGATGCATCTGAGACAAAAATCTGAATCCACATAGGAAAATGCAACTTTATAATTCATTTAATCAGTTCTTTTATGTGGATTTATTTATGATCAGCTAATTAAAGGTATTTTGCTTGATCATGTGTTTTTATATCTATGCGATTACTACATTTTAGACTAATATTTAATTTTGCTTGCTGTGCTGAGAATAATTGTTTACTACCTTATTGTATAGAATTTCTGATAAATGGGAATGTTGCTAAATTTGGAATGAGATTTTGGTAAGGATATAGCTGACTTATTGTTACTGCCCCACACGTACTCTGCAACAATTGTGGTTCTGGATTTCTCCTTTTCTCTTGCCGCCATGAGACATTAAAAAAAGTTTATATTTCACTTGAAGCTGGGAGTTTCTTCAGCATGTGATCCAAATATTAGCTTTTCTTTATTACTTTTTTGAACCTGAGCCGTATGCAAACATGATGAATCATGTATGTGAGGCTACAAGAGAACACTTTAAAAAAAATCTTCATTAAAGAGGAAAAATAATTTTCAGTTTTAAAACCAATGTGTACATCTATTTTAAAAGATGACAAATACATCCTCCTAGAGATATATTTACATCCCTGTATGCTTCCACCTGTTTGCAATGTATGTTATGCAGCAAGTTGTTGGTTTTGCCTTCATTATCTTTTATTTTGTAGGTAAATATTTGTGACACTGCATTTTCCTTAATTTACCAAAAACATGCCAAAGGATTTTTTCAAATGAAAATAACCTGCTTGTTCAGCTTCTGTTCATGGCACATTTTTGATGAGTATGTATGAGGATGTTGTGTTTGAACCAGAAGCTAATCACCTAATATTTTAAAGCGAGTATTTCCCATGCTTCCCAGTATGGGTGGATAAAATGCATCAAATTCATATTGGTTGAAATAGGCTGAAAATGTATGTCACGGAACCATGAATGTGTCAGATACTTATGTGTGATCTTAACAAGCAATTATTTTGGAATAAAACTGTTCTGGTGGAGATAAATGCCGAATACCCAAAAGCATCCAAAGCCATGATGTATGGTAAATTATCTGTAAAACCATAACTTTTATTCTTCTATATTTTCTATATAAAATCATTTTGAAAAATACATCTCGGAAGTATGTGCTTTTAGTAAGATATTCATTGCCTGTTAGTTGGAAAATATCAGCATTTAGAAGTTCATTTTCCCGTACGACTATATAATACTAAAAAGGGTGCTGTCAGGTGAATTGCTGGCTAACTACCAACAAGAAGAGGATGATTCCTGTAAAGCTCCTTTAATGATCTTCTGCAAAGGGAAAGGTAAACTTTTCAAATGATTTTCAAGTGGGTTTCATATACATGTCTAATTCAGAAGTATTAAATATATATAGGATATCTGCCTCAGATCTGTTGATAACAAACAAGTCATTGAATTGTTTAGTCCTTTCACTTACATCTGATCTACAAGCAGAAAGGAGTAAATAAATAGTCACAAGTGTTTTCTACTGTTGTCAAATAGTTCAATTGCTGATCAACACTGAACTCTGATAAGCAAGTCCTTGTTCTTTTTTAAAAGATTCCCTTAAGTATCATTCCTTAACGTTTGCAATGCTGAAATCTGTAACACTAAACCTTTTGTATTTGCAGTAGCTCTTCTACGTGTTCAGAGCACTTGACATACATAATCTTGTAATCCTTTCAACAGCTGAGGGTTACAGGTATTGCTACTTGATCATATTACCTCTTAAGAGAGTAAATGTGAGACGTGTGAGTAAATGAAGCCATTTTTTCTGCCTTCTGCCACTTTTCACTGCTGATAAATGTACTTTGGCTACATAATGAGAAGACAGGAAAGCGTGGAGAAGATAATGATGCTGAGGAAAATGGAAGGAAAAGGGAAGAGGGGCCGACTAAGGGCAAGATGGATGGAGATTATCCTTAAAGTGACCTTAAAGGAGCTGGGGGTGGACATGGGTGACAGGGAGTTCTGGCACTGGCTGGTCTATGAGGTCACAAAAAGTCAGAAGCGATTGAACGAATAAACAATAAATGTATGCCATCTGGGTCACTTGGACTGCCACAATGGATTAATGCTGCACTATTCCATGCAGCATTTACATTTAAATATACAGACAATTATGAACACACCTGATTTTGGAAGCTAAGCTGGGCAGTGTCAATTAACAGCTAGATGGGAGACCAGTAAATATCCAGATAGGGCTAGTAAAGAATCCTGTTTAAAGTCTTGGGAAAGCTGTTTACAGCACTGGATTACATTGATCTGTGGTGTGATTTGGTCTGAGGCAGTTTCCTGTGTTTCTTCCTAAAACAGATCATTTGTTTTTCTAGTCTTCACTTGGATGATAAAAGAATAAACTCTTAAATGCACACAATAGCATCCTGGGAATAGTGGTTGTCCAAACAGCATCACTCATGCCACACTGATACGTTTTAGACTGAAGATATTAAATCCAGTCGGCCCTCCACAGTTGCAAGTTTCAGCTTATGGGGATTTGATTATTTATCACAAATTTCAATCTCTAGCTCCTCTGGTGGGGGTAGCAGGAGATGCTCTTTACAAACTTGGGTTGAGCCAAGTTTTAAGGCCCTTGAAAGCTTTATATTCATCTACCCTTTTTACCATGGTGTATCTGAAAATAGCGTCATCCATGTTGCCTGCTAAGAGTAATAGTGAAGAAGAAAAATACTGAGAAACCCGTCTGAATTTAAGTATTAGATTGTGCTGTCAAATCATTTGGTGACATGCTTTTTGCAGGACTCGGCATGCCTTGGGAAGAGAAATGCCATGGAACAGTATGTGGGCTATTCGTGTTTAAAAGCTTTGGCTAATGGAGAAAAAATACCTTGATGTGAAAAATGTTTTATATTTCACCTTGCATCTAGCATATAAAGTATGTGCAAGGCATCAGTCATTCTCCATTTTAAATTTCTGGACTAAGCTAGTTCATGTTTGTTTTTTATTCAATACTATGTTGCTTCACAATTTTATCATTATTCTACTGATACAGTTGTTACTTGTAATTGTTTTTGTTGTTTTTAATTGCTTTTATTTACTGCTGCTACTTATTACATTGTAAGCTTATAGAATCAAGTTGGAAGAAACCATAACCATCCAATTTGATCCACTTCTGCCATGCAACAACACACAATCAAAGCACTCCTGACAGATGCTAATCCAATCTCTTCTCTGTTTTTTCATATATTTTTGTATATCAATATTTTTGACATGATAGCTGTAGCTTTAAATGAGCTTCAATCTTCCCTCATTTCATTGGGGAAAAGTTGCATGATAAGCAGATTATTATTTTTCCATGTCAGGAGCAACTTGAGAAACTGCAAGTTGCTTCTGGTGTGAGCGAATTAATCTGCAAGGATGTTGCACAGGGGATGCCCGGATGTTTCATCATCCTGTGGAAGGCATCTCTCATGTCCCCGCATGGGAAGCTGGAGCTGACGGAGTTCACCCTGCTCCCCAGATTTGGACCACCGACCTTTTGGTCAGCAGTCCTGCTGGCACAAGGGTTTAACCCATTGCGCAAAGGGTTTAACCCATTGCGTCACCGGGGACTCCTCCAATCTCTGCCAAAAACTTTACAGAGAGGGCTCTTAGGTGGTATATTCCATAGCCGAACAGCTCTTGCTGTAAGGAAGATCTTCATGTCCCTATTAAATCAGCTCCACTGGCTGCCAATTCTGGACCTAATTTGGCCCAGCTTACCTATTTAAATGTATCTCCCTCTATGAACCATCACATAGGTTAAGATCTTCTGGGGAGGTCCTACTCTCGGTCCTGCCTCCGTTGCAAGTGTGGTTGATGGGGACAAGAGAGATTAGGCCTTCTCAGTGGTGGCACCTCGGTTCTGGAACTCTCTCCCCAGTTTACTCTTCTTAATTAAGAAAAAAACATATGTACAATGTGATCAGTTGCATCAACTCACACAACGTCCTTTTATGAGAGATTTAAAATGGTCTTTCTTTGTCCATGTGGATAAACTTAAGCAGCTTATGAAGCTAGAGCACACTCCAAAATCTCTCTGTGCTTCTCTCTGAACACTTGCATAGCTCAAGCCTGAACAAAAAATGTAATGGTATCCAAAAGTCCCAGGCTCGGACTGCTCCCCAAGCATTGCCCAACCAATCAGTTACACACACACACACACACACACACACACATTAACTGATTTCTTGCATGCGCCAACAGAGAATGCTTGTGGAACATGGTCATACAGCCCAGAAAATGCACAGCAAAGGCTAAAGACCTTGGAAACCTAGACCTCCAGTTATGATAGCAGGCAGCTGCTGTAGCATTGAGCCAGGACAGTTAAAGTAGTGTCAATCTGCATTACTTCTAAATAGATGCACCCAGAGTGAACTGGGAGGGAATTCTACCATTCTGGTTTTGTGATGGGATGATTAATGAGGAAGATGAGAAAGAAAGGTACGAATGAATGATAGAGTTCAGCAAAGGCAGAAGAGGAGATAGGAAGCCACTTTGGCCTTTTCTTCTTGCACTGTTTGAAATCTGCATCTCTCTTCTCTCCTAGCTTCTCACATTTCCTGCTTGGTTTACATAGGTGAAACTTAGGATTGCATGTGAAAATATATATGAGATGGGGAGAGAAATTGCAATCAATCAGTGCCACTTTCTTCACTGGAAGAGGAGGCAAGTGCTTCATATTTTCGTGCAAGTCCTTGCATTTAAAAAAACCCCATAAGACTCGCTGTTTTGTGGGTTGTTGTTTTTCTGTCGGCCGAACGGAGGAGGAAGAGGAGAGCAGCACCGAAGGGAGGACGAGGAGCGCCTTCCCCTTTAACCCCCTCCCTCTTCCCTCCCCCTCGACTCCAGCCTCGCCCTCCGACGGAGCGCCTTTCCGCTTCAGTCGCGCGGGAGCAGCAGAAGCAGAAGCAGAAGCAGAGAGCAAGCAAGGAAGGAAGGAAGCAAGGAGGGCAGAGATGCTCCCTGCAGCCAAGCAGCTGCTGCGGGGCTGCCCCGGGAGGTGGAGGGCCATGCCGCCTCCTCTTCCTCGGCCCCTGAGGCTTCTGGTGGCCGCTTTGGCGGATGGAAAAGGAGGAGAGGGAAGAGCCGGAGCCTGTGCGCGACACCGGGGCAGGTTGTGGCCGGTGAGTGGGGCGCAGCCGTGGCTTTTGGGGTCTGGAATTGGGAAGGAAACTTTGCTACGAGCGCACTCCTTCTTCCCTTCTTTGCGTCTTCTTTTCCTTCTCCCTCTTCTCTCCTTTCTCCTTCTTTTCTTCTCTTCCTTCTCCCTTTCCTTCTCCGTCTTTTCACCTCTTCCTTCTCCCTCTTCTTCTCCTTCTCCCTCTTCTCCTCAGTCTTTTTCTTCTGTCCCTCTTCTTCTCTTCTTCCTCCCTCTTCTTCTCCTTTTCTTCTCTTCCTTCTCCTTCTCCTTCGCCCTCTTCTCCCCCTTCGCCTTCTTTTCTTCTCCTTCTCCCTTTTCTCCTTCTCAGTCTTTTTCTCTTCTCCCTCTTCTCTTCTTTCTCCCTCTTCTCCTTCTTCTTTTCTTCTCTTCCTTCTCTCTTCTCCTTCTCCCTCTTCTCCCCTCCTCCTTCTTTCCTTCTCCTTCATCTTCTCTTTCTTCTCCCTTTTCTCCTTCTCATCTCATCTTCTCTCTCCTCTTCTTTTTTCTTTTCTTCCTTCTCCCTCTTCTCCCCTGTCTTATTCTCCCTCTTCTCCTCCCCTTTCTCCTTCTCTTCCTTCTTCCTCTTCTTTTCTTCGCTTCCTTCTCTCACTCCTCCCCCTTCGCCTTCTTTCCTTCTCCTTCCTTCTCCCTCTTCTTCTTCTCCGTCATCTTCCTTCTCCTTCTTCTTTTCTTCTCTTCCTTCTCCCTCTTCTCCTGCTTCGCCCTCTTCTCCCCTTTCGCCTTCTTTCCTTCTCCTCTTCCTGAATCTTATCTTCCTTCTCCCTCTTCTCCTCCTCCTCCTTCTTTTCCGCCTTCTCTTCCTTCTCCTTCCTGGCAGAGCAACTTGGGCTTGTTGCTTTTACTTTGCGGCTTCCTGTCGCCTAAGACGACCAGGGCGTGGAGGTTGGGAACACGAAGTCCCGCCACAAAAACAAGCAAAGGAAAGGGACTTTGCGGAGGATTACAACACCCGGAATCCCCTCTTCAGGAAGGCCAATCGCTGGCTGGCTGGCTGGCTTGCTTCCTTCTCCCAGTCTTGCAAAGGACGAGTTGGTTTTGTTGGAAAATATGCGTGTGCGCGCGCCTTCCAAGTCAAAGTCTTGTCGACTTCTGGGTAATCCCGTGACTTTTCGGGTGGAGTGCCTCTACTACACTGTAGAACAGCCATGGGCAAACTTCGGCCCTCCAGGTGTTTTGGATTGCAGCTCCCACAATTCCTAACAGGCTGTTAGGAATTCTGGGAGTTGACGTCCAAAACACCCGAAGGGCCGAAGTTTGCCCATGCCTGCTGTATTATCTGAGCAGTTTAACTTCCATAGCATTGAGTCATGGCAGTCAAAATGATATCGAACTACTTTAGGAGATTCCTAAGGAGATGCCATCTGAACATGAGGAAATTAACATCTTTATTAATGACTAGCTGTCCCCTGCCACACGTTGCTGTGTCCCAGTCTGTGTATATGTGTATATATGTGTGTTTGTGTATATATGTGGTTATGTGCATGAGTTGTAATGTATTTTTTGGGTTTTTTTGGCTTTTTAAGTCTCTTCTGCTGTGTTTTTCTGTGTTTTTTTGAGTGATGGTCACTTGTTGGCCTGATAGGTGTCTTGTGTCCAAATTTGGTGTCAATTCGTCCAGTGGTCTTTGAGTTATGTTAATCCCACAAACTAACATTACATTTTTATTTATATAGACTAGCTGTCCCCTGCCATGAGTTGCTGTGGCGCAGTCTGTATATGTGATTTGTGTGTGTATATATATATGCATATACATATGTATATATACACACATGTATGTGTCTGTATATATTAGTGCATATATGTGTGTTTGTGTATATATGTGGTTTTGCGCATGCGTTGTAATGTATTTTTTTTTGGCTTTTTAAGTCTCTTCTGCTGTGTTTTTCAATGTTTTTATGAGTGATGGTCACTCGTTGGCTTGATAGGTGTATTGTGTTCAAATTTGGTGTCAATTTGCCCAGTGGTTTTTGAGTTATGTTAATCCCATAAACATTACATTTTTATTTATATAGACTTGGTTAGAAGGCATGATCATCAAGTTGACACCAAATTGGGAGGGAGAGCCAATACTGCAGAGGACAGGAGCAGAATTCAGAACGACCTGAACAGATTGGAGAGATGGGCCAAAACCAACAAAATGAAGTTCATCAGGGACAAATACAAGACACTCCACTTAGGCAGCAAAAATGAAATGCAAAGATACAGAATAGGGGACAATGCCTGGCTCGACAGCAGTACGTGTGAAAACGATCTTGGAGTCCTCGTGGACAACAAGTTAAACATGAGCCAACAATGTCATGCTTAAAAAGTCAATGGGATTTTGGCCTACATAAATAGGAATGTGGTGCCTAGATCCAGGAAAGTCATGCTACCCCTCTACCACACCTAGAATCACACTGTGTCCAATTGTGGGCACCCTAGGTGAAGGGAGATGTTGACTGTAAGCTGGAATGTGTCTAGAGGAGGGTGACTAAAATGACCAAGGGTCTGGAGAACAAGCCCTATGAGGAGCGGCTTAAAGAGCTGGGCATGAGAGGAGAAGAGAAGGCTGAGAGGAGACATGATAGCCATGTATAAATATGTGAGGGGAAGTCATAGGGAAGAGGGAGCAAGCTTGTTTTCTGCTGGAGACCAGGAGACTAGAGACCAGATCGAGGAGCAATGGCTTAAAAATACAGGAAAGGAGATTCCATCTGAACATTAGGAAGAACTTCCTGACTGTGAGAGTTGTTCATTAGTGGAACTCTCTGCCCCAAAGTGTGGTGGAGGTTTTTAAGCAGAGGCTGGATGGCCATCTGTCAGGGGTGCTTTGAGGGGAGGTGTCTTCCAACTCTAGGATTCTATGATGCTTCTAAGGAAGCTGGTGGGAGGATGAATAGAGGTGCCTTGGAAGCCTCAAGTGTTTTTGTTTTGTTTCTGAAAGTTCAATGTCATGGTTTTAGACTGCTTTGCTAAACTTGACTCCAAAGGAAAGGAAGAAGTGCAAACAAGCTGCATTTTTTATTATTCTTAACTGCCTTCAAGTCAGCCTCAACCTTGAATATCTCTAGCTGCCTTGCTAGATTTTGCAGTCTCAGACCTATCCATCTGGAATACATTTTCCTCCTTTCCCTATTTTAGCAAGCATTGTTGTCTTTCAAAGTGAGTTGCTTCTTTATATGACGTGGTCAAAGTAGGACAGTCTCAATTTATCCTTCTCTGACTTCTAGGGCGAATTCGGGCCTGTTTTCTTCTAGGACCCATGGATTTCTGGAAGGCAAGCCCTATGAGGAGCAGCTTGGGGAGCTAGCTGGGTGTGTTTAGCCCAGAAAAGGGAAGTTGACATGATAGACATGTTTAAATATTTGAAAAGATAGCATATTGAGGAGGGGACACACTTGTTTACTGGTGCTCTAGAGAATAGGACACAGAGCAATGGATTCCAGCTGTGGGAAAAGATATTTCACCTAAACATTAGGAAATAATTCCTGGCAGATAGAGCTGATCAACAGTGAAATATGTTACCGCGGAGAGGAGAGGAATGTCCATCTCTGGAGAGTTTGTAAGCAGAAGCTAGATGGCCATCTGTCAGGAGGCTTTGATTGTGCATTTATTTATTTATTTATTTATTTTACCATATTTATATACCGCCATTCTCAGCCTAAGGGCGACTCAGGGTGGTTTACAAACATCACGATTCGATGCCCGCAATAACATAAAAACAATTAAAACTTTATTTGTTTGTTTGTTTGTTTGTTTATTTATTTACTTCATTTATATACCGCTTTTCTCAGCCCTCAAGCGACTCATAGCGGTTAACAACAGCAAAATTCAATGCAAAATTCATTAAATTTAGCATAAATAACATTAAATAAAATGATAAAACCAATAAAATATAGATCCTCAGCGTCTCAGTACTAAAATCGTTGTCCAATTGCATTGTACAGTTGTTCCAAAGATCAGTTTGCCTGCTACACTACATTTGGGAAGGCTTGCTCAAAAATCCAGGTTTTAACTTTTTTACAAAATGTTAAAAGGGTGGGAGCTGATCTGATATCCCTAGGGAGGGTGTTCCACAGCCGAGGGGCCACCGCTGAGAAGGCCCTTTCTCTCATTCCCGCCAGCCGAATCTGCGAAGAAGGTGGGACCGAGAGCAGGGCCTCCCCAGAAGATCTTAGGGTTTTAGATGGTTCACAAGGAAAGATGCGTTCAGACAGGTAAGCTGGAATGGGATTGAACAGAATGGCTCTTGGGGTCTCTGCTAGATCCATGACTCTATTACTTGTCTTCTCAGTAGTCCATGGTATCCACGGATTTCTTCTCCAGCATCGCATCTCAGATGAGTTGATTTTCTTCCTGTCAGCATTAGTTGAATTTAAAAATAAAAATAGAGAAACGTAGTAGTTCTGTACAATTATTTCTTTAAAAATTATTAACTCAAAATGTGCTATCTGGGAGTTTTGCGAGAGGAGAGGTGGAAAGCTGGATGTGTTTAATGGAAGTAGAACACTCTTTCAGTGTTTCTAGGGCTTCCTTCCTAAAGTGTTCTCTGTGGCTGCAGCTTCAATCTTTAACTGAGTGCGATGAACTGGAAAACTTGCTAGCTCTTAGGAAAACTGTGTGCATTTACATGTTACTTACTTACTTACTCCCTTGTAGATGGAGGATGATGGTCTTCCAGATGTGTTGTCTTGGCGGTGGGTCCATAGGTGGCTGTGGAGCCCTATTCTTGATCTGCATGTTCTCCCACAGTGAGGACATTGGTTTCCAGACAGAAGGTGGTCCCAGTCAGGGTTGGCTTGACGTGCCTTCCTCTTGGCACATTTATCTCTTTTGCCCTCCATTCGTGCCTCTTTGAATTCTGCATCAGCACCCCAAATAACCAAACCAAATCTAAAGTTGGGTTGTTGTAGGTTTTTTCGGGCTATATGGCCATGTTCTAGAGGCATTCTCTAGAATGAAATCCACAAGCATGTGGACAAT